GCGAGCCGCTGGAGCAATGCAATAAGCTTTGCGCCCGACTCATGCCTGGGCGACAAGCAAATGACGCGAGGGCGTTGTGATGGATGTGCAACGCCACGCAGATTTGTGGATTTTGACCGTCGGTGCTCAAGCCTTGGAGTAGAGCACGTGCTTGTAAATCGGCGTGTACGCACGATGTAGATTGCCGGCGTGCCTCCTCTCTGCTGCTGCTGTGAACACGAAGGTGTCCCAATGCAGACATTGTGTCCTTGTTATCTTTGTCACCGTGCAACATACGGCGCGCGCGTGCGTGTGTTTTATGCGGCTGATTCGCATAACAAAACAGGTATAGGCGCAGCCCTGAAACTGGTTGCTCACGCCATTGCTGACAGAAAGGCCTCCACTCGAGGAAGGTCTAGAAAGCCCTTCTAGAGGGTATTGGGCCTACTCTTCCACGCTTGTCAGACGTCTTGGGAGAGATGAGAGGTCCCCACACTTTACCACACCACACGTCACCTGCCGATAGACTACCTAATTTAATGCTGCTGGGTTGACAGAGGCAGGGGTATTTAAGAATCATGCCCATTGCTTTAAGTGTAGATCTAATCGAACCCGCAGCATAGGGCAGTGCAGCCAAACAATGATTGTACTCTACTTCTATGTTCCCACGTCTATGCTACTGCTGCACATGTGCATATCCATTCCAAATCGGGCACGAGTGGCGTGTCTCATTGCAACGGCACAAAGGACAGACCATTTCTGGAACCGCCGCGCTCATACGAGAGATAAGAGTGAACACTAATACTGTAAAACATCCTTTATCTTTGCCACAACAAAGAGCATCTACAATATTATGAAAGCCACAGATCCTCTATAGATGCAAAGCGTCGGTAAGTAATGCTGTGCTTTATCTTGAAAAATCTCGTCTATTGATTTTTGTTCCCCTCGAGTTCTTAAGCGTCTTTGAATTATCGTCACGAACGCGATTCACGTGAGGCTTGGCACCTAATTCCACACTCGTGACTCGGTCCGGGAAACAGCGGCGCCTTGGTTCGACAGTAAGCCTCATATCGAGTTGTTCATTGTTAATGCGCTATGACTTGGATGCTGCTACGGGGCTGTGTGTGCAATGGCGAGGAGCACGGTGGGCTTCCAATTCAGAGGTCGTCGGCCTGCTCGATCTCCCGTGGCGGCAGTTGAAACAATAGGCACGTTGAAACAATAGGTACGTTGAAATAATAGGTACGTTGAAACAATAGGCACGTTGCAACAATAGGTACGTTGAAGCAATATGCATGTTGAAACAATAGGCACCTTGAAGCAATAGGCACGTTGAAACAATAGGCACCTTGAAACAATAGGCACGTTGAAACAATAGGCACCTTGAAACAATAGGCACGTTGAAACAATAGGCACCTTGAAGCAATTGGCACCTTGAAACAATAGGCACGTTGAAACAATAGGCACCTTGAAACAATAGGCACCTTGAAACAATAGGCACCTTGAAGCAATTGGCACGTTGAAACAATGGGCACGTTTCTTAAATCTCTGCCTCTGTCGAGCCGGCAGTATATATGGGTGGGTGCGCCACATTTCGTCGAGCGGACAGGTCGCGTGTGGCGGGATGAAGTGTGGGTACCTCCACCTCTTCCAGGGCATGCTGGTCAGTGTGAAAGAGGAAGCCAAATGCCCTCCAGAAGGACTTTCTACGGCTCCATCTCCACGCACTCTTCTGCAAGCAGTGGCGTGATCGATCATTTTCAAAGCTGCGCCTTTACATTGTACCTTTAAAATAAGGGTAGTTTGCCTGCAATGTAATTTCTACTTTAAAGCGACTTAACGACACCGCAACTGAAGAATTATTTTTACAAAGCAGTTTGAGGACACGCTTATCCCAGAGAGACGATGCATGTTTAGTTCATACGGAGGCGGTTCGAGGCAGAGGAGGAGAGGAAGGCGATGAACAGAGGCAAGGGAGTCGAGAGCACGGAGAGAGGCGGAGGCAGCAGGCCAGGAAGATCAGCCTCATTGTACGGATACTGAAGTTCGATTCCAATTACGAGGAATTACAATGCACGCGCGATGATCAAAAGTCGACCCTAAAGACTCTGCGATATAGAATTATTCACAAGATAAGGCTCGTGTGAGTTGGCACCATAGCTCACATTCCTTATAAAATTAATGATAATAAAGGTGGCGATTTAGAACCCTATGTCAATCCACTGCTGCGTGAAGGCTCTCACCACGCCGCGTCGTTCTTATGCTACGTTTGACCATACTTCACCACGCTGGTCAGTGCGGATTCTTCAAGTAGGTGGCCCCATGACCAAGTCAGATGCCACTCGCCGCTGGCGTTAGCAACAGCTGGGAATCAAACAGAAGTATACACCCGGGTTCTGGAACATAAAAATAATAATAATAAGCCTCAACAGACGTAGAGTATCCACGTCTCACAAGACACAATGGGTCACAATGGGATCGTAGATGGAGCGAACAGATAACATCACGCGGGCAATTTTTTGACACGTGGATCATCGCGCGCTCTCCCACTTACAAAAACGTGGGCGTACGTCACGAAACGTACATCTGGAGGTCATTCTTAACTTTTCCTACGATGTAAGGCAACTCAATCTGGAGTCCCGTGGCCATGACATTCAGCGTGTTCCGCAATGATGTTACCCACCGACCCCACATGATGCACATCGCATTCAGTGCAAAGCAACATGAGCCAGACAATTTCTCCGTATACTCTACACAGCATTGCAGAGCGTTCTCTGCGGTCGATTGTTTTGAATATTTAAAAAAAAATGCACAAAAAATAATGGCAATTGCTTACCCTCGACAGCCTTACTCTGCGTCTTGTTTGTTTTTCTTCACGTGGGTTTCTGCTACATCGGGGTGCTTGACCAATAAGCATGACTGGGTGACTTCACGTTGTAATTAAACGCAGCACGCGGAGAAATGTCGGCACGCATTCGAGGTGACACTCAGCACTGCCATCTTCTGGCCGTCTCGCAGCATCGCCCCACGTCTTCACAACTCACGACAAGGGGGTTTGGTGGTGACTCACCCTCATCCAAGCACTGCACGAACCAGTCTCGAAGCCCGCTTAGCTTCCGAAATCTATCCAGATCGGGCGCATTCCATGTGGCTTTGTCCTCGGCATTTGTTGAAATTGCACGTTACTATAGGTACGTGTCATTTTTTGAATAAGTACCTTATATACAAAATAATAACACCTTGCATTTACTCATGAAAGCCTCAGTGAGTTCCAAGACTCTCAAGATTATCTTAAATTCGGGTCCTGCACTGAAAAGCTTAGTAATTTCAATTCGTGTTTTGCAATGGGAAGCAAATGGGTATGGTATACAGTATTTGTTAGTAAATGCTGTATAGCATGAGCTTCAATTCCCGTGTGCGTATTCACGCGTTGGAGTGGTGGCGCAGTGATTAGCACATTGCACTACGAACCCGGCTACCTTCGATTCCCGACCACGACTCTCTTCAGTGGCGAGTGACATCTGAACCGTTCGTGCTCACACAGCCCCTAACCAGCGTGGTGAAGCATGGCCAAACCCAGTAAGACCGATGCGGACTGGGCATGTTCTTCACAAAACAGTGGGCTGATAACAGGACTGTACATTGATATAAGTCATAACTCATAATTAAGACCATAATTCAAGGACCTATTTATATTGAAGCGGTTTTTGATAATAATTGATTTTGTTGCAAACTAATCTTGTGCTACGCTCGGCGCTCCGTAACACACTCGGGCCGTTCTCATTAATAACCGCTTGGTGCCACCACGAAGGAACACGGAGATATAATTAGCAATCAATGTCCACTCAATAATGCCAAATGTGCGCACGCTCGTCAGATCTCGGAAGCCAAGCGCGGCCGGGCCTGGCCAGCATTTGGGTGGGGAGGCCGACTGGATATGGCAGGAGGTGTTCTACACTTGGGCTTCAAGGTGTCCGGGAATTGGTGGTTCAGCTGATGGATGCTTGATTCTATTTGTGCTTTAACGTGTAAAGCTTTACCACGTCGTGTATGCTTGGTTAGGTTTCTCTCCGGGCTCTACGGTTTCACTAATCACTGAAATTCGGCGAGAATGCAAATTGAGTCGGACTCTCCCGAAAAAAAAAATTCTCGACACTCAGTGAAGCTTTTTTAATGGGTAAATAAAGAACATTTATAATGCTCGTATTTAATTAGCTTGACGTGCGACTGGTGGGTCAATTCTGATAAATTGCACACTTGTGAAAAATAAACCCCGCAGTAATGCATTGCTGGAGGTACGCATCAATGAACAGAGGTCGCTCGACAACAATTGAACCAGCCGAGGTTCACGTGCGACTTCACGTGGAGGATCAGAATCAATGCCGAGGAGGTTGCCATGGGAGGCCCACACGTGCAGCGTGCGTGAGGCCAGGTTACCGATGCAGACGTTCCAGTGGACACCCAGAGGTCAACGACCAAGGGGAAGACTGAGATCCAGATTGTTGTGGCGATGCTTGTGATTTCGGGTGCCCATTGTGCAACAGCGAGGAGCGAAGTGCTGGCGAGATGTGGTGGCATCAGTGTGGCATTGGCCTGCACAGGGAGACGCTTGTGCATCAGCAGACGCTACGGACTGCGTGATCACGAAATGCGCTACTCGCGACGCCTCGTGGTTGCGCCGCGGGCTATTGTTTGTTTGGCGTGGACTCCACGCCGCGGCCGTGTGCATGAGACTTTCCATCCCCCCCCCCCCGCTTCCTCCTCTCCCCAACAACAACGACACCACCACGGCCACGACTCGCGTCACCCACCACCACACCCACCTACCCAGCCACTCGCTCACGCATCCTTCCCTATAGCAGGGCCGCCCCCACCGCCACCGGGTCCAGCACCTAACTCCCACCTCCCCCTCCTCCTCCACCCCACCGCCCCAGTCCTCCCCATTCCTGCCTTACTCCCCCCACTCCTCCCCCCAAGCCATCGCACGCGAGGCGGTGCCTGTGTGGGACTCGCGCCGGGACACAAACGTGATGGCCGTGATGGCCGTGAGTCGTGCGGCGGCTGCGCGATGTTGCGCGCTCGGCTATTCAAGTTCGTGGCGGCGCGTCAGCGCGGGTACAGCGTGTGGCGCTGTGCTGCTCTAGAGTCGGGCTGTAGGACGCTTGTGTAGAGAGAGAGAGAGACGTACCGATACGCGCGCGTGCATACCTGATCGACTCATTCCGTGAGGTTTTTTTTAAGGACTTGGGAATTGCTCCGATTCCAGCGCACACTCTCTCTCTCTCTGTCGCTCGCTCGCTCTCTCTCTCTGCGTATGGCGTAATAGTTTAAGCGAGCGGCAAAGCGACGCCAGGGTGGCTGCGTGACCGCCGCGGTGTTCTGCGGGCGGAATGGTGCGCTCAGTAGCGCCGCGTCGCCGCTCCTGCAGGCAAGCATAGGGCGCAGATCGTGTGCGGGGCAGCTCCTCGGCTCGCTGCGTGGCGATCAAGGCGAGACACCGCCCGCCGGACCGCGCCTTGGGGGCGGCGCTTTATCTTGTTCACCTCCCCCCCTTCCTCTTGTGACAAGTCAGCTGCTCAATATTTGTTCATTTTCTCGTCGTTTCAATATTTTGCGAATTGAGCGCAGCTTGGATGAGTGTGCGCCGTCGCCCACGCTCCGGGAGGGACCCTCTCTTGCAGTCGCCTCCTGCGCACGGACGAAGAGGCGCAAAAGACCTGGACCTTTAAACCATCATCAACATTCACACACACGCGCGGACACGGAGAGGCAGGCACACGTGCGCACGTACACTAGCACGCGCCTGTGCACTTGAGCATGCTGCTCGCTGCGCGGTGACTCGAAGGCGGTGCTGCTGATCCACGTGCACTTCTCGTCCGTGAAACGGAGCGAGGAGGTCTGTTATTGTCGTCATCTACACCGTGGCGATAGAACACACGTAGAGAACACGCGCGCTACACGCGCTGCTGGCAGGGGCGATGCTGCGTCTGTAGCCTGCACACACGAGGCGCGTGGCGGCTTCTGGAGGGGTTTATAATCGCATCGAGAAGGCAACCGAGACAATTTTCTTTTTTTTTAACCGTAACCCCAAGACAAGACGATGAAATCCGTGTCGGTGAACAGAGACGGGACGCAGTACGCATCGGAGACGAGGAAACCGGCGGTAAGTTTGTGTTCGCATTTCACGGCGCGCACTCCACATGCGGCAAACGAAAAGCAATGCAATGCACAGCCCTTGCGTGAATCCACTGCTGGATGAAGGGTGCCTCCTGCCGTGTTGCTCGTCGACGGTGTTTGGCTGACTATACTTCACCACGCTGGGTTGATGAAGGGGTGAAGCGGTGGGTACCGATTAAGATATCACGGTCACATTGATGTTCGCCTTGGCTCGGGCTAGGCTGATTCTTAATGCACTCCGCTAACCACTGCGCCACCGCTCCCCGAACGTATAGGCGCAGCGCTGCAATTGCTCGCTCACCCCGCTGGTGGAGGTAGGGCGCCTGCCAGAGGGAGCTCTCGAAAGCCGCTCTCGTAGAGGGTCCGCAAGCAATGCGTCTCGGCGATGTGGGCCGGTGACTGTCGATTGCCATGATGAGTCTTCACGGCCGTTGTGTTTGTGTGCGCGCCGCTCATTGCCAAGGAAGGCGCTCTCTGAACGGCGCTTGTGCAGTCCACAGCGGCGTTGCGCTGTGCAACGTCGCCTGCCCGTGCCGTTGGGGCCTTGCGCTGTGTGTGTGGTGGCTACGGCACTCCATGGCATCTCTGTTATTTCCGAAGATGTCCTGAAGCAGTTTTTTTGCAAATGAATGTCAGCGAACGAAGCCCGACGACATCGCTAGGGGATACGTGTACACTCTGTCGTATGCAGCGATGTGAGGATCCGTTTGAATGTAATAAAAAAATGTGTTTTTTACATCGTCTTTACGCCGCTCTCCCTCCCTCTCGCTCCTCATCCTATCTCACGTGAAAATGAAATAAATCTTCCGGATCGGCCCAAGTGGTGTTGTGAGCACACGCTTCAACTGCCATAGCGAGAGGACAGGAACGATTCAACCTTGTAAGCAGTTGGAGTCCACCGTGTTATGTGAAGCAATCCAATTGGTTCTATCCCTGCACAAAGCAACACTTTAGCCCATAGAACACTGCGCTGCAAGGGAAACGATAATAGGGGCACATATTGGGAAGGCATTGGCGTGAAACGTCGCCTCCTGTAGACGTTTAATTTTGTTTAGTTTTTTTTTGCTGTTATTTGGGCACTGAGCACAGATTCTTGTTCGCGGTCCTCTGTTGTTGAGAGCGCTCTGTGGCGAGAGTGCGGATGGGGGGGGGGGTGCCTCGTCACACCCGGGTATGACGAGCGCGTGGTCTATGCGGGGCTCCGTCCAGAGAGGGCGGCTGCTGTTTCCCCAGAGAGGGCGGCTGCGGTTTCCCAGCCGCTGCGCGGACGCGCGAAGCATTCCTGAGCAGTCGCCCGCGAATGCGCCCGGGAGAGAGACAGATTTCAATTCCCGAGCGTTTGTTGAATCTCCCAGAGTTCTATGCGTTCGCATTAAATTATTCATCGGTTCATCTCGAGTAACGATCACCGCACATGGATTTGCGATTCAGATGTATGTTGAACTTCTTTCGCGCCGTACGTAACCGAACCTATTCGATCTTTCCGCGCGGCAATTGAAACAATTGGATTTTTTTTCTCCCTGAAATAGTCCACCCCAACACCCCCACCCTCTGTATCACCAGCAGCATAAATGAGGGGACATCATAGTTCGCGTGCGGTGGGCTAAAGTGTGGGTAACTCCCACCTATTACAAGACCTCGGGCCAGGGTGGAAGAGTAGGCCAAATACCACCCAGAGGGGCCCGTCTTGAACTCGTCTTGTGGGAGGCCCCTTCTGCCAACAGTGGCGTGAGCAAGCCGTTGCAGATTTGCCCCTTTACCATTTCGCCCCACTGATTGCCACCAAGTGAAGCACATTCGCGTGACGCTCTCGAAAGGGCTCCTGAGCTGAGGTTTGGCACGCAGTGTCTAGGAATACATGGACATTACAAAACAAGAGGTAGCATTTGGTTCTGGAGGTTGATCGGTTTCACTTATCGGGCACGGTCTTCCCTAACTTTCTAAAACTCCAAGCCACCGCTCCACACAGCAACCCGAGATCCATTCCCCGCCATGGCCAACATCAGTGGCGAATGAAGCATTTCCTGCCCCCACCACCTACCCCTCACCTACCCCCTCACCTACCCCCTTACCTACCCCACCACCTACCCCACCACCTACCCCCTCACCTACCCCACCACCTACCCCCTCACCTACCCCACCACCTACCCCCTCACCTACCCCCTCACCTACCCCACCACCTACCCCCTCACCTACCCCCTCACCTACCCCACCACCTACCCCCTCACCTACCCCCTCACCTACCCCACCACCTACCCCCTCACCTACCCCCTCACCTACCCCCTCACTTACCCCCTCACCTACCCCACCACCTACCCCACCACCTACCCCACCGCCTACCCCACCACCTACCCCCTCACCTACCCCCTCACCTACCCCACCGCCTACCCCCTCCCCTACCCCCTCACCTACCCCCTCACCTACCCCCTCACCTACCCCACCGCCTACCCCACCACCTACTCCCCCACCTACCCCACCACCTACCCCCTCACCTACCCCCTCACCTACCCCCTCACCTACCCCCTCACCTATCCCCTCACCTACCCCACCACCTCCTCCCTCACCTACCCCCCTTTTCACCAACCCTCAATGACCTGCATGGCGACGTATGTTCAAAGATTCCCCAAAAACAAAATGCACATAGATGCCTTCATCCAGCATTGGATTCATCGATGCAATGCTATCGATTATCAATGAACCAATTGATTTGTCTGCGTGGAGTCCGACCATAAAACCGGTAAATAGCACGTTGAAGCTCGCTGATGCAATATACAAGTGTATTTGGCGAACTAGCAATTGATTCCTAGTTTACCTGTAAGTCCATTGTGAGTCAGAGCGATTGGAAGAGGCCTCGAACCGTAGCGTAACTTGATAAATGGCTCTGCTCGAAATGTCGAGTCCGGCTTTAATTGTTGCACGCAGAAGACACGAGCGCTGTTAATTTGCAATTAATTGCGGCGTCTCTGCGCGGCTCGCTTCGGGAGCGTTTCTCCGTCCTCTCATTCCCCAGAGGCCTCGAGCGAGACTCGGCGATAGAAACGAGAGGGCGACGATGGCCATGCCAGAGCGGTTGTTGGTGGCCTCCTGCGGCCACGAGGAGACGGGCCACGCCAGGGAGAGAGACGAGCACGTGTGTTCCCATGTCCTGGGTGGTGATTGTGTGTTTCGCGCTTGTGCGAATCGCTCAAATAAATAAACAAATAAATAAATACCCTCGATTAATTCCTTCCAGGGGTGGGGGCGCTTCCTCCAATTAATGGCAATTAGCACAGCAGGCGCGTAGTTGTTCAACCAGCCCGAACGTCATTTATTCATTTGTGTGTTTCCGGAAAATCCTTGAGTGCCGTCTTTTAGTGCGAACTTGGAGAGGGGAGCACCAGCAGGCGTGTGACTTCTGTGTGATGTCGCAGTGATGTAGGTGTGATGTGGTGGTGATGTAGGTGTGATGTCAGTGTGATGTATGTATGATGTCGTGGTGATGTAGGTGTGATGTCAGTGTGATGTATGTATGTGTGATGTCAGTGTGATGTCAGTGTGATGTGGTGGTGATGTAGGTGTGATGTCAGTGTGATGTATGTATGATGTGGTGGTGATGTAGGTGTGATGTCAGTGTGATGTAGGTGTGATGTGGTGGTGATGTAGGTGTGATGTCAGTGTGATGTAGGTGTGATGTGGTGGTGATGTAGGTGTGATGTCAGTGTGATGTATATATGATGTGGTGGTGATGTAGTTGTGATGTGGTGGTGATGTAGGTGTGATGTCAGTGTGATGTATGTATGATGTGGTGGTGATGTAGGTGTGATGTCAGTGTGATGTATGTATGATGTGGTGGTGATGTAGGTGTGATGTGGTGGTGATGTAGGTGTGATGTAGGTGTGATGTCAGTGTGATGTCAGTGTGATGTCAGTGTGATGTATGTATGATGTGGTGGTGATGTAGGTGTGATGTCAGTGTGATGTCAGTGTGATGTGTGTATGATGTCGTGGTGATGTAGGTGTGATGTGGTGGTGATGTAGGTATGATGTGGTGGTGATGTAGGTATGATGTGGTGGTGATGTAGGTGTGATGTAGGTGTGATGTAGGTGTGATGTGGTGGTGATGTCAGTGTGATGTAGGTGTGATGTAGGTGTGATGTGGTGGTGATGTAGGTGTGATGTCAGTTTGATGTATGTATGATGTGGTGATGATGTAGGTGTGATGTCAGTGAGATGTATGTATGATGTCGTGGTGATGTAGGTGTGATGTCGTGGTGATGTAGGTATGATGTGGTGGTGATGTAGGTATGATGTGGTGGTGATGTAGGTGTGATGTCAGTGTGATGTAGGTGTGATGTGGTGGTGATGTAGGTGTGATGTCAGTGTGATGTATGTATGATGTCGTGGTGATGTAGGTGTGATGTCAGTGTGATGTATGTATGATGTGGTGGTGATGTAGGTGTGATGTCAGTGTGATGTATATATGATGTCGTGGTGATGTAGGTGTGATGTCAGTGTGATATATGTATGTATGTGTGATGTCACTGGTGAGTCTGCTAGGGTGTGTGTGGGGAGAGCAACATTTGGTTCACCGGGTGCCATGCGACATGATAGCTGCAGTGGTCATCTCACAACGCACACCCACCCATTGTATCGATTGCGGTTCGTCGCCAGGTGCCATGAATTCCGGTTACACCGGCACTGTCGCTGGAAATGATTGAGCAAGGATGGTGCTTAATTCCCATTCTTGGCCCAAAATTCCACTTTACCCCCGATTACCCAGCTCAGATATGCATTGTGTGCACTCCCACAGCAAGTCGACTGGACACTTGTGGGACAATTTAAATAGCCAATAAGATATGAGATTGCTTACTCCAACGTGTAACTGAGACCCAAATATTGCCCGCTACTGCTGATGCCCGTGTGATTATTGATTTGCATTCACTCCTGTGTTCTGTGCATCGATTATTCCTGTTCTCTGCGGTTGTGTGTAGATGGGTAACGCATGAAATGGTCTCATGGAACTCGAACATTTATAATATTATCCGTGCCTTTCTGCATGTAAGAAGAGTCGCCTATACGTGGCAGAAATGTCATCCTATTTTCCGTTATATGTAGATGACTATGAATTTCGATTTAAAGCTTTCGTGACTGCAGGGATTCATCTTCTTGGTTCTTTCGGTAAAGTCACGTAGAAGGGAAATAATAAAATAATAATTTATTATTATATTATTTTATTATGATAATTGGTTCTTTACCCTTCTATCTGGCAACTGGCAAATGAGGTCCCCATAGTGTTATTTTATTATGTTGTATTTATTTTATTTTATTATTTCCCTTCTACGTGACTTTACCGATAGAACCAAGAAGATAGATGACTATGCTTTATAACAAAAGTAATTTCCTTGGATGTACATGAGCAGCCTGGTTGTCAATTCACTGTTGGACGAGGGTCTCCTAGGCCATGTCGGTTGTGAGGGTTCCATGCATTCCTCTGTCCACGATGCCCATAGAACCTGGTATTTGTGCATGGTCGTGGTGACCCATCACAGCATTACCTCGGCTCAACTCTGCTTAGCTTTTGAGGTCAGATGGGACCGGGCACATATCGAATGCTTTGGTCATAGACAATTTCCATGGATAATCGTGGGTAATAGCTTCCACCAATCGCAACTCCCCAAATCACCACAGATAACAGACGCTTCACTGTAATTGCATTCCCAATGAGGCGGTGTGGGATTGAACGAGCCCAAGCTATTGTGCTACGGTGTCGCGAGGCATTTCTTCGGCACGCAGACATTAATTCGTGTAATTTCGGTGACGTAATGAAATATGTCAATCTTGCTGTGTGGCAGCTGAAACGGCTGGCAAGTTTCTGAAAGCGTGGTCTCTCCCACCTCTTCAAAGACGTCTGACCAGCGTGGAAGAGTAGGCCAAGTTAGCCTTGAGTGGAGGCTCCCGAGCGCCCTCTAGTGGAGGATCTTCCACCAGCAGTGGCGATGCCAAGCAATTGCAGGGCTGCACCTGTACCTTTCACTTCTTAGTTTTTTGTTGTTGCGAGCTGGGCAATTTTCTGACGAGACAACTTGCATTTGTGGAGCAGCGTCTAAATGCAGCCGCATCTCAAGGCGCCGTAAAGCAACGGCAGCAGCGTGGGACACGGACAACGATATTCTTGGTTCTTTCGGTAAAATCACCTGAAAGGGAAATAATAAAATAATAATACAATAATATTGTTTTATATTTTTATTTTATTTTATTATTTCCCTTCTACGTGACTTTACCGAAAGAACATGAATCCCTGCAGTCACGAAAGCTTTAAATCAAAACGCACAACCATGTTAATAAGGAGACGTGGCTGCGGCTTGACCTTTCTAAATATTAATTTGATCAAACTTTCGCCACACGCGGACAAACAGGCGTCGTCGGATGGCAGCCAGCCCCACGCGAAGGCCGCCGCCGCCGCCGCCGCCGCCTCCCCGGACGATCGCAGCGGCCTCCGGAGGCCCACGCCGGAGGGGGCCGGTGCCGTGCCGGGGGCCGGAGCGTGGGCCGGCGAGGAGGCCAGGGTGGGGGGGCCCCCCCCCGCCTGGTGCGCCGCGTGCGGCTCGCGCCAGGGGGAGCCGCGGAGGAAGCTCGCCTCGCCCGCCAAGGTCAGCCCAGCCCGTGACCCCTGCAGCGTGTGTGTGGACCTTGTTCAAAAGAGTGGCTTGTGGGGTGTTGCAGGGTTCGAAAGAAACTCAAAATCGGAATATTGATGTTATACTGGAGGAATCCGATGAGCTATGAAGCTCTGTTTCTTCACAGTTGTCCTGTAAGCAGCCGGGGCACGACACGGTCGATGGTAAATAAGCGTAAAGCAAACGTTGAAACAGAACGATCCGACTTCTGATCTCGCTCTCTCTCTCTCTCCCTGAATGTATGAGCATAATCTCTGACGCTCATGGCGTGATCGTCACCGGCGTTAATTATTGTTGACCAGCAGTGTTTGACTTGGCTATAAGAATTCAGAAGCGGGGCTGAGCCTTAAGCAAGGAGGGAAAGGGTGGGGATGGGGGTGGGGTTGGGTCACATCTCCCACCAGCCTCACCAGGACTCTCAGTTTCGGCAACTGTGCGAAATCGTGCGAAGTCAGAACGACATTTTTGTCCTCAATATTGTTTTCGTCGCAGGCCACATAAGCCGGTATTTTCCAGTCTCTCCGCGTCTCTTCACAAGGGAGAATTGTTGGTGGTAAATAAAGTTCGGTTATCAGCCATTGTCTATCCACTGCTGGATGAAGGCCTCCCCCATACCGTCACCACCCCCCCCCTAAACGGGCCAGAGCTGCTGCCGTCCGTTTCAGTACCGCCCTTGAACTGACCTCATCGCTCCATCTCGCAAAAAAAAACCTGGATTTATTATAAACGTAGAGGAAGAAATAATTCTGTTCGTGGTATAGACCTTCTGTAAACACAATCTACACACGCACACACACACCGAGTGAAAAATGGGATTCCAATGATAACATTCAATTGTGACTTAAGTCTAAGGTAGCCTGTAACACAGTGAAGGACTTCAAAGGAAACACTTTAAACCCTTTAAATGGGGTAGGGCATTGAATGCTATCTCTTAGAAAAATTGCGTTGATTTTTCATGTTGTTATCATACGCTCGTATTAATGGTGCAAAAATATTGGTAACTCTCTGTATGTATGTATGTTGAACTTCTTTCGCATCGTACGTAGCCAACCGTGCTAAACGGAGGCGCAAACTCTGCAAATAAACACAACATAAGACGGGCGTTCCGTGATGGTATTTGCACACTGCACGGTAATGTTAAGGGCTGCAAACAAATTGAAGTCCCGTAATCTAACACCGTTAATATGCCGTGAAATATTATCGTCAGCTGGCCAGCGAAGCACCGCACAAAAAACCTAACGAGTCGCTTCGAGAAAGTTTCCCAAACGCCTGCCAGCGTAACCCGGCACGCCCCGTCTGTCCCCGTCTACAATTTGCTCCCCATTCAGATACGAATCAACGTGTTCCACGCTGCACGCGCCCGATGATTGTTAAACACGTCACACGCGAGGCGACAAGCAATTAACACTTTGCATCACGTGCAAAACGCACACACACACATGCAGCACCTGCATCGGCTCTCTATTCGCGCAGACAGCTTAATTGCTCAGAGCATCACATGGGAGTTGTTTTAAAATCATCAGGTGCGTGCAGCGTGGAATGACTTAATTTGAATGGGGGGGGGGGGGTAATTTGGTAAACGCAAGTAGCGCCGACTAGAGCTTGGGAAATCCTGCTTTAGAGTAACCATTCCATTTACAACATCAAACGCGCCCTTCATGAAACTGGGTGGATTCAACGACGTCCCGTATCACGCTCCGCGTGACTCGAGTGTTCTTGGCGAACGTGTCATTGCAGGCGCGCCAGCGTGTCAACGGCCCGCTGAAATCGCGTGGAGTCTCAACTCACGCTCGTGTAGACGCACCCCGCCGCACATCTGTGCTCCGTAAAATGTCCCTTTTGGCTCGAGTGGGGGAGTCAAAGCATCGAGCCAGTGCCGCTAATAATCTGGGTGTGAATATGTTCAGCCACCTGTGATTAAAGCGGGGTCTCAAGTGTAGCGGTGATCTCATGGTCTGGTCACCAATGGCTGCACAACAACAACATTGGGTTGACTTCCACGCGACACACAGCCATGGTTTGGATAAAAGGTTGCTTGAGGGGCTCCTCTCTGAAGTAGTTCTGTGATATCACGTTCCGTGGGGCCGTTGTCTAATATGATTGTTTTGAATGGATATACTATTATCCTCTCCTGTGAAACTACTGCAGAATGTGTCTCTGAAATATTGTGTATTCACTACAGCCTTACATTGCGTGAATGGCGCCAATACCAAATGTACTTGCAAATTGATTGAGTCCTGCGGTCTTTCGTGCGATGTTGCAGCAGCCCTGCGAGTATCACCTTCCCCCACCAATCGAGCACTTCCACTTTGACCCCCGACGAGTCTACGGACAACTCCCAAGACATGGGTTACAATTGTCTGGCACACACCTGACCAGTTTATGAGATTTAATAATAGTCACGATATATTTATTGACAGTGATCATTTGTGTCATGATAAATGTTAACACGGTGGAGCGATCGGTGGCATAGTTGTTAGTGTGCTGTGCCATGAACCTGGTGACCTGAGTTGGAGTCCTGACTGTGACAAACATCAGTGGGAAGTGATGTGTGCACCTGGTCTGAGCTCACCTGCCTTCACCAACCTGCCCTGACCAGAGTGGGAAAGTATGGTGCAGCGACCCCTGTCTCTGACAAGGAATGCGGAGGCCGTGATTCAGCAGTGTATTGCAAAACGGGCTCCGTATAATTATATATTAACATATATTATTATTGCTATGTTTGGGTATACAGTGTTTGGAGAGTATGTGGCATCATTATCCTTCTCTACGGAGTGAGCTCTCACTTGACTTCCGAGCATTCCTTGGAATCCCGAGCAAGACCCAATTGTGTGTCTAGACATCGGGACAAAATTGCCCTGCAGGCAAAGCATAGCCAGTGCACTAACTCTACGGGATTACTTTTCAGGATATAATACAATATCGTTGATCTTAAAAGCGTCTCAGAAATCGTAATGCAATATCAGAATGGTACAGGAAGCGTCTCTCGATCCAAACAGGGCACCCAGAGTGCCCGATGGCACACGTTAATAATCAAGAGCCCGCACGGCTTAAATTCCCCGGTGAAATGTTTGTTTCTTGGTCCATGATCTGAATTTCCATGTTTTTTTTTACATGCAGGATGATTCAGTTGTAGATATCTCACTAAAACACCACTGCTCCCGCCAATCTCAGTGCACTTCTTAAATTGTTATATTTTTAACACTATGATGGAGCCATCGCGTACACAATATCCAATCACCATTCCATAATTAAGGAAGTGGGCTAATTAGAAATCAGTGGAGTAGTTAGAATTAGTGGGGTATCTATGAATGTTATATTTTTCTCTCTCTCTGCAGCAGTGTTCTCCATTGCAAGGCCCATGGGCCACTGGCAGCCTCTGGTGGCCTCTAGTGGGGCCCCTGATATGCGTCCCCCCACAATACACAAAGAGTGACCCCCCCCCCCCATCATCATCGTGCTGCTGTCAAACCCCAACGGTTTCAAATGTGTGATGATGTCTTACAGGCGAAAGTGCTCCCCCTCTGAAAATATTTAAGAACACCCCTCTACAGACTATATATATATATATTTGTGATGAGATGACGACGATGATGATTGTCATCATCCAATGTTAAGCAGGCCACAAACTTTTGAACATTTTACAGAGGCAGTTTTTCCATAATGTTGGGGCAACGCAAAGCAAAAAAGCCCCTTTTGAAGAGATGCAGCGTAAGAAACAGATGATAGCGGGATGAGTTTTGAACGTTGCCCCTAAAAGCAAGCAGTCGTCCTCTCGGAAAACCCCACGCTGTGTGTGTCTGCCATCGAAATTCTGTCGGACACATTTAACTTAGCCCCCACTCTATTGTGCATGCAATCTGCTTCTCTCAGCCACAGCATTAAAGGCAGCGCCTCCTCGCATGAAACCAAGGTGGAGCACTATTCATTTTAAATCTTGTCTATAAAATGTCTGCGGTTAATAAATCGGCCTTCAACGCATTCCTGGTAATTCACTATGGGGAAGGGGGGGGGGGAATTATATGTTTTTTACGTTATGTTTTTATATATTATGGGGTTCGACTGAAAAGGAATTAAAGCAACGGAGCCGCAGACGGTGTGCTTATCGTGCTGCTGCTGCCGCGTGGTGGTGGCGGTGGTGGTGGTGGTGGCGGCTGTGGTGGTGGTGGTGGCGGCGTAATTGAGGGCTCGGTGCTGTGAGGAAGAAAGCGCAGCCGCAGCTGTTTCCAGCCACATACTTGAGGGCCGAGACGTCATGACGAGATGTTGCTCTGTGTTATGTGCCCCCCCCCCCCCTCCGCTTTTCGCTGCACACCTTAAAAGCAAAACATGCATGCTACGGGTCCAATTTGTGTTGAACAGGAACAGTCAATTTCAACAATGCCGTGGGTTTTCTGATGGAAGGGGGTTGAGTTGTTTCCCGACCACTCTCGATCGTGCATAATGGTCGCCACTCTCGGCAATTGGCCAGAGTTTGAGATTGTTTTTTTTGGGAAGTAACCAACAGAAGCCACTGACGGGGGGTCCACCTTACTTCTGTGTTGATATATTCCAGAAACTCACAGAAAGGTGAGCCGACATTTGTTGTTTTTGGCAATTACGTGGGAGGAGAGGGGGCCTCTTAAATGCGGGAGCCCGAGCAGATTTGGCGAAATGTTCTGGTCCCCAGGATTGACGAAATGAGGGCATGTTGAAGATGGCTGCAACGTGAGCCACTCGCGACGGAAGAGCATGGGACGGAGGGCAGAGCTGGGTGGGGGTTGAGGGGTGCTTGTGATTTGGTGACCCAACCTCAAGCAACATTTCTGCTGATTAAATGCTCCTTTCACAGCATACACGCCACCTGGCACGGGCTGCATTGAGCTCCAATTTCATCGGTAAAATGAGCCAGTTGAATTTTTACAGGGCATCCTGTGTGTCCGATGAAATTAATCGACCGATTGTTAGTTTCGTGCGAAATTCGCACCGACTTC